ATCTACAAAGATAACAAATATTAAAATACAACTGGAACAAAAGATTAGAGTAAACCAATAACTAGAGGCTGAAGGGAGGTGCGCTTGGCACTCGAACAACCACGAACGACCCAGGATATACCACGACCTTCGATCGACTGATCCATACAAAACACCCTTCAATCTACCCTTGAAGAAATTGCGTCAGGCTTCAGGATGCCGGGACGGTAACCCAATCAGGCAACGAAAGTCCCTCGGAACCAGCAAGAGAGCCGTGGTGGGCGTCAGATCTGGCAGCCCTCGCGCACGCCGCCACAAATCCTCCAGAGGAGAAAGAAGGCCGCCGAATCAACGAGCCCCAACCAAGATCTACAGGAAAGAGTCAAGGATCACCGAAACTGAAAAACAAACTGTACAAGAAAACCAAACAAAACAAAACAAAACAACCAGAAAACAAAAAAAAGCAAAAGGAGTCACCAGAAAGGGACCTAAAAACTGATAGACCCGAAGGGTCATCAAAGGATGGAGCACAGGCCGGCTCCAGCATGCTTGAGCGGCCGGGGAGCCCAGCAGCTCAAGCATCAAAACGTCGGAAGCTCAAAGGCTTCCGACCAAAAAAACCACCGCACCGGAGAAGGTAGGCAAATGCAAGAGAGAAGGGAGAGAAAAGGAGAAAGAAGAAAGAGGCATAAGTCTAATAATATGTTGAATAATATGTTAAATGTATTTTTTTTAATAATATAAATATTCAAACTTTTAGTTGGAGTCATTTAATAAGTACGTACTTATAAATCGTCTCATTAATAATCACTAAAATTTTTATTATTTTAACATAATTTCATTGTAAAAACCGTTAAAGATTTTAACATAATTCACATTAGTCTTTGAGAGCCAACCCCAACTGATTATCTTCAAAATGCCATGGCCAACCAACAAGTTGAAGAAACCTTAAAAATGAAGGGGTCAAAATGGCCCCCAAAAATGAAGGGAAATGGACAGCTTTTCCATGTGCGAGCATGAGGAATTGGGGTCCAATCATTAAACCACTCTCCCCTCAAGAACATGCAATTGAGGAGTAGGTTGTCGTTTATTGTTGTTGATAAACCCTAAGAATTAAAAGGCCAATGAGTCAATGACTCGTTTTTATATGAATATTCCTCCCAAAAGGTAGTGAGTTTAATTTAAATTTGATTTCTTGACTTTTGACTGAGTTTTGTTTTGATTACTTGGGTCTTAAGATTCTTTTTTTTAGTCTTCATAGATCCCAACATTTCTATCTACCAAGATTATGGTAGCTTGTGCTAATTAAGGACAAACCATAATTTTTAATTAGAAGGTTAAACTATTGTCATTAAATGTTGTCATAATCTAACGCATAAGTTTAGAAAATCATAAAGAATTAAATTAGAATAGGCTGTGAACTCGAACATTTCTTGATTAAATTTACTTGACTCAATTCACAAAATAAAAAAATTTATGTAACATAGACTTGGATGTTTAGTGTTTGTTATAAGGGAAAATGGAGTTCTTTAGAAGAAGAGTTCAGCACCAAACTTAAATTAAAGGTTACAAGTTAATTGGAAGTGTTATAAACATGAAGGAGAAGAAAGACAAAACATATTCAAAACTAGTGAAGTGTGACACAGAGAAAATTAAATGAAATTAGAATGAAGAATTACTATGTAGAAAGGTGAAGTGCCAGAATGGTAGAAGGATTTGGTTTCTCAAATCATATTATAAGGCATTTGTTGGATAAAATTGTAATAAAATTAAGGGATTCATGTATTACATTCTA